TACATACATCCTTTCCATCCAGCAATCCATCCATCCATTCACGCAATCATCCAACTATCCGTCCATCCATCCATCTATACATACATACATACATATATATATATATGTATATACATACATACATACATACATACATACATACATACATACATACATACATACATACATACATACCGTACATACATACATACATACATACATACATACATACATACATACATACATACATACATACAATAATAAATACATACATACATACGTACATACATACATACATACATACATACATACATACATACACATACATATAAGCATACATATATGTGAACATACATACGTACATATAATACATACATGTACTACACCTACACATTACATACATACTCATGTACATTTTGCATAAATACACACATACATGCATATACTACACACATTACATATGCACCTACACACATACATACACAGGCGTGTAACATACATACATTGTTCCTTGGTGAAACGTATTTAAAAATAAAATTTGACAATTTTGGAGAGAAATTTTGCCTTGGCTTCCTGTTTTCCCACTTTCTCACTTTTTTGCTGTAGGTTATGAAGTCCATGTCTAAGATTTTTATCAGTGAATGGTACTCGCGAGAAAGTAAACGACCACTCGTCCCTTGAAGTGATAATGCGCATATATCGAACAGGCAGTGGGTACCAAATGGAGCTATTGATGAGTTGTTTTGGCATAGCTTTGCCAGAGTAAGGAAACGCTCCGGTAATATCACTAGTACGGGATGCCAGCTTTGATTGCCTAAAGATCTTGGATTTCTTGGTATTACCATTTTAATTCGTGTTTATCGGTTATTGAAGGGGTGGAGGTGAAGACTGCTTTAATGGGAATACTTCCTTCAGTCCACAGGGAATTAATCCAGATTTCAGATGTGCGTTAATTTCTTTGAAATGCTAAAATTGCCTTTCTTCGCTCCCATAAATTGCGATACGAAGAAAGGCAGTTTTTCAGCATTTCGACGAATTTATGTGCTGCAAACTATTTTGTACAGTTCTTGCCACTAACTATCCAACGCACATTCGTCTGCCCTTGTTTTGGCCAAATTTTTTCCGAAAACTTCAAATTTTGGTCTTCAACTGCTTTTTTTAATCGATTTTGGTCCCTTTGTGGTGGCAGGTGGTGCCGGTACGGGCTCAAGTCCATGTTTCGAAGCGCTCTTTGAAAGCACAGTCTCTTGGCGGTTTGGTTTGATTTGATGATAAATTGGTTCGCAAGCTGTATACACAGATAAAGCATTAAGATGTTAGAAAGGTGGAAATCATCGGTACAGTCACCATCTTGCCACAGAGCAGAAAATATGGAGAAATTGATGAGAGGAGAAAAAAAGAAGTAGGAGAGAAAAATAGCTGATGTATAAAAGTCGACTAAATACCAAGAATACCAAGATCGCTTGAACTGTCAGAGTGGGTATTCCATGTTAGTGATGTTATTGCGATGTTTCCACATGCTGAGAGCGGCTTGCAAAATTTGTTCAAAAATGGATAAAACTTTGTAGTATCATTTTTTTCCTAAATCTACAGATTTCTGAATATATACTAATTCTGCAGATATGTAAAATTTAGCAAAAACTTGATTCTTGTGGAGGTTTTAAAGGTCTTTTAAAACGCTAGCTGTCTCAAATTCATATCCGTGATTGCATGTAGGTGCATCGGCTCTCTAATGTCTTTTGCCTTTGATTAAATCGCTTCTCTTGTTCTTTCTGCTTCTCGGAGTTAAAAAAAAAAATCCACAAGGATTGTTTTGACTCGGAAAGGTATAAAAGTGGGAATGGGGCGCCAGGCTGGGTGCTACTTCTGTTTTACTTTCCATCGCTGCACTGTCACCGATTCCACTTATCACCGCACCGATAAATGTCACTTGACTGAAAATAAGTGTTTTTTTTCGAACACTCTGTGAGTGATTGACTCTTTTCCCAGTCACTCCCTTTTTATTGCTGATATTATCTATGCGATTGCTCTGGTTACGTGAAAAACACGAAGGCGAATCAAATGTGCGCAGGCGTTATCACTTTTTTTTTTGCATGATTCCATTCCAGAAAGCTTGCTCGAGCAATCTGTATGGATAATTTTTGTGTTTCTGAAAAAAAAACCCAACTGCACGGCTAGACAACCGTGAAAGAGTTTCCGATGTCTGCTAAATTCCTCTATTTTTACCCTCACTGTGATAACTTCGGCCACTTGGAGGATAAAAATATCCGTCTGTTGACAGCACTCGAATGGCAGGAGATCCTGATTTTTGATTGTGAAAATAGCCGGATTAAAAGCAGAGCTCAGGGGAAGAACAAAATGCTTTCTCATCGAAGAACACGGTAATTTTTTGGAGCTTTTTTCAAAAAATATAGCATTCCAATAACTGCATTATTGTATTTTTATTTTTGTTATTAAATTTTCAATGGAAAAAGTGTTTCTTATTGTGATTTCTTAAAAAAAAATTCATAAAAACATTTCTTTTCTTCTGAAGCAAATTTTCATTACGTCACTGCAGTGAG